TGTAGCAAAGGAAGATACATTTTTGATTGTTGAAATTAATAAATACTTTAGTATTAAATATTGTAGAATGGAGTTGGGCACACACGGTGTTCGCTCTGTCGCACTTACTTGGCGGCGATCCGAGCGCGTGGTAAGCGGCACATTTCAGTGGAGGCACTTCAATGCCTGTGTAGGTGCTTTGGGTGCTTGCTGTGGTGCCGGCCTAACAACCCCCGTAAATATTTAAATTATTCTCTTTTTTTCAGTGTTTGTTAACGTGATGATTTTTTTTTAACGCTGCGGCGCAGGTTGGTTCCTATTGCCGTGTCCGCGTTCCTTGTGGTGCCTCCGTGGCCGTTGCGTGTGCGGCATCTCTACACCCGCCTTCTCGGTGGGGTTGGTGGCGGTGCCATGTGTGGGGTGTGCCTCTGTGGACAGGTGATTGAGTCCGCATGCAGAGCCGTGCGCGTTTCTGGTGTTATTAGTTGTGGTGTGGCTTTTTCTTTTGAGCTTTTTTTTTTGTTTAGTGTTTTTTTTTTAATGTTTGTGTTGTCGCATGGATTTGTTATTATTATTTTGGTTGGTGAATAAGAGCTTTGCGTTGCAGGTCGATTTTTTTATATTATTTTTGCTTTGTAGTGGGATGTTTTTTTTTTTTTTTTTTTTTCCGTGGGAGGATGGCTTTGTGTTGGCTGTTGGAATGAAGTTTTTTTTTTTCTGCTTTTTATTCTATTTGCACTTTTTTTTGTTGTCTCTGTCTGTCTGTGTGTCTCTCTCTCTCTCTCTGTGTGTGTGGGGGGGTTATGTTTGGGATGACGGCGGAAGGATGGGGTTGAATTATACGAGTAAGGCTCATCAGGCCGAACAGGAGGCGTCGAAGACTCCTGAAAGAGGAGAAGTGAGTGCGGGATTTCCACTGGGCAATGTCTTTGCGTTGCAGGAACCGAAGCACGCCCTGGCTGGTTTATCCGGTGCCGCGCAGAATCTTGTCGTTGGCGTGGGCGTTGGCCTTGGAAGCCTGTTGGCACTTCCGGTCGTGAATGGGCATAGGGACGGAGCGAAGGGGGTTGCTAAGGGTGTCGCCATGGGTGTTGCTGCTTTGGTTGGCATGACAACCTATGGCGTGGCGACAGGGGCGAGGCAGTTTGCGAAGGGTGTGTACAACACAAAAGAAGCGGTTGTAGAGGCGGCAAGGGGCGAGCGTTACTGGGACAGTCAGCAGGGCCGTTGGGTGGACGTGCATCTCGATTCTGCCTTTGCCGAGCTGCCGGCGGGCGATGAGGACCTTTTCACGCAGGCACGCGAGGCGTTTGGGAAGATGTTCACGGGGATATCTTCCAATACAACCCATGCCAGTGAGGGAGCGGCAGCGGCGCCCTTGAAGGACTATTATGCCATCATGGGCGTTCAAGGACGGCGACAGCGGC